TAAACCCTAAACCCTAAACTCAATAGGAGTGCTACGTATTTTTTGTTTGGGCGGCTTCCCGGCTTCCTGTTGCATCTGGTTCAGAACGGAACTGCCTGATCTTCGGTTTTGTTCAAGTGCAGAGGGTCATTTAGGGGCCTTAATACTTAGANNAGGAACCCCAAAAACAGTATAGGTAATTTTTAAGGCCCCTATATGAATCTTATGTAATCTTGCTTGAGGAAGGGGCTTTGTGTGAACATGAGAAAGGTGAGGACTCGAGGACCAGGAGCAATCCAGTTGATGAATAGGGTCTGAGATTGTAATTGTAGACATGCAACAGTCTGAAGACGAAGAAGAACCTGATGTTGTGGTGGGTGATTGTCAAGCCGCAAACCCTAAACCCTAAACCCTATGACTTAACTTATAACTTAGGGTTTAGGGTTTAGGGTTTAGGGTTTAGGGTTTAGGGTTTAGGGTTTAGGTCGGGTTTCGGACTAAACCTTCAACTCCTGAACCCTACACGCTAAACCCTGAAACCTAAACCCTGGACCCTAAAACCTAAACCCTGAACCCTAAAACCTGAACCCTGAACCCTCAACCCTCAACCCTAAACCCTGAACCCTAAACCCTGGACCCTGAACCCCTAATATCTGAGAGCCGGACGTTCGAGGTCTAGGGGTGAGAGCCCTAAAACTACCAACCGTAAGCCCCGTAGTCCCAATATGTGAGTAACATGAATGAGATCAAAAACTTATGTAGGAGCTGAGTAGGTAACCTTTAACCTTTTGGGCCTTATGTAATCCTAGTATAATTCCAAAGGTTAACCCTTTTTTTGGCTAGGGTACTCAGCCCCTAAGAAAAAACATATCTATATCAGATTGAAAGTGTGCATAACCCAACAGCCTAAGTAATATAGTTAGTATCCCAGAAGTTGAAGTGATCTAGTTAGCGTTCAGAAGTCTAAGTGATATAACTAATATTCCAAAGTCTAGGTGATATAGTTAGTTGTTAACATTCAGAAAGTTTCAGTGCTATAGTGATTTTTTAGAAGGCTAAGTAATATAGTTAATACTCAGAACCTTAACAATACGAACATAAAACGATCTGGAAACAGGCACGACCAGTATGTCGCCCTCCCCGGCCAGCCTGTGACGGATGGCGCCGCAGCGCAGAAGCTTCGTGGTGCGAACTGTGGTGGAGTTTGGGTTTAGGGTTTAGGGTTTAGGGTTTAGGGTGGAGTTTAGGGATTTTCGGCTCGGGGTTGGGTGTGCTGATTACTGTGAGGATTACGACAAGAGTTCCACTACAGGAGCTTGAAGGAAAAGGGTTTAGAGAAACCCTAAACCCTAAACCCCCTAAATCGTAAATTAGGGAGTTTGGCTTGGGGTTCAGGGTTTTGGGTTTTAGGATTTTGGGGTTTTAGGGCTTTCAACAAACCCTTTTCCTAGGAGGACTGGTTTCATCACAAAGAACATTGCTATCTCTCAGGAGGCCACTGAGATCCAGTCATCAGTCATAAAAATTGGAATGAGTTACTTCCAAAACAACATCCACGTGTGCAGAGTCCCAACCCACGTCTTCGAAACAGGGGTCTTCCTCAGGGCATTTCTTGAGAAGAGGATTGGCTTCTTTGTGCCTCGCATTGCGGAATCCTTGGGCAAAAACTATCTCCAAGGCGCTTATTTCGGGCTAGAAGCGAGCCAGCAAATTGGCATCGGTGCCAGCTCTGTGAGAGGCCACCAAGCCTTTCCGGCTGCACTTTTCTTGCAGACATTTCCTTCAGGATCCCCTTCCCAGAGCCTCCAATATCCCTTAATTAAGGAATATTCCTTAAATTATAGTAGGATCCTTAATATGATTCAGGTATACTCCTTAATTAAGGGGTATTGGAGTTTCTGGGTTCTCAGCTCCTACAATTCGCAATGACTGACTTGGACGATTTCTTCACCTCGCTCCGCGATGCGGCAGAAGAAGCCAACTTGGTTCTGGACACAGTATGGAAATACAAAGGAGGTAGTCCACTTGCTTTTCGACAAGCTGTCATAGAACGTGGACCTCAAGCGGTTGCGACCGCTCTTGGATTTTGTCTTGCTGCTGACATGTTTGGCACAAAGAAGTCACTTCAAGGAGCGATCCCTCCTTCAACGGGATCCAAATTCAGTGATTCAGTGATGAGGTAAAGGGAGTTTTGAAATCTGCTGCAGCCCTTTACAGGGTTTAGGGTTTAGGGATTTAGGGGTTTAGGGGTTTAGGGTTTAGGGTTGAGGGGTTAGGGCTTATGCTTTCAGGATTTAGGATTTGGTATTCATGGTTTAGGGTTTAGGATCTAGGGTTGAGGGTTTAAGGCTTATGCTTTAAGTTCTAGGATTTGGGGGCTTTGGGGATGGAGGGTGCCAAGCAAAGCGATCCGTGTAGGCATGTGAAGCTTTTTCTACGGCTCCGGGATTGTAGAATTTCGGGTTGGAGGGTTTCAGTCGACATGGCGGCGTTGAGTTCAGGAGGTCAAGTTGGCGTTCACACAAAGCCCGTGCAAAACTGAATGTCTGAGAACTGGACAGTTAAGACTGTGTTACAAGTTATAACCCCTTTGTAGGACGTGGGTTTGTGATATCAGTACAGTGCAATCCAAGTCGGTACCAGGTGTCGACAGGAAAAATTTGGATCCGTTCTGAGCGATGTTTCCCAGCCGGCTAGGTCTTCCAGGCTTGTCGAAATCGGAAGAAAGAACACATCTCCAAGCCGAATACGAGCCGCCCCATAGACTACAGCACCCATACGGACACGTGAACACACAGCTTTGTGGACATGCAGGCAGATGTGAGCGCTAAGCCCTAAACCCTAAACCCTAAACCCTAAACCCTAAACCCTAAACCCAAACTTCTTCAGGTTTGGGTGGCTTTCAGGGGTTGTACATCTGGAGCCCGAAGCCAGAAGTTTACGCCCCAGGTTTTAACTTGAAGGTTTAAAGTTTTAGGGTTTAGGGTTTAGGGTTTAGGATTAAGAGCTCTAAACACTAATAAAGAAGCCTGAATAATTACCAATATCATTCACCAGGATTCCTTTCTACAGCTGCAGCATAACACACCCCGCAATACCCTATTCAAGTTGTCAAGTTCCCTGTATTGATCCCTAAACCTCTAGACCCGAAAGCCCGTAAACCCCTGAACCCCCAAGCCCCACCGGAGCCCTAAAAATCCTAAGCCCTAGCCGCTAAGATCCCGAAGAACCCTAGACCCTAAACTCTAAGAGCCTGAAATAAACCCCAAACCCCAAACTCTAAGAGCCCCAAAACCCGAAACCCCAAACTCTAAGAGCTCCAAAACCCTAAACCCTAAACTCTAAGAGCCCCAAAACCTAAACTCTAACAGCCCCAAACCCTAAACTCTAAGAGCCCCAAAACCCGAAACCCCAAACTCTAAGAGCTCCAAAACCCGAAACCTCAAACTCTAAGAGCTCCAAAACCCTAAACCCTAAACTCTAAGAGCCCCGAAACCTAAACTCTAACAGCCCCAAACCCTAAACTCTAAGAGCCCCAAAACCCGAAACCAGAACGGGGACCGAGGCTGAGTGCAGTGGAGAGCTTGGTAGTTGGCGGAGCAGCTGGAGCAGTTGCCCATGGCTCGACATCTAAGGGTTCTAGGGGTTTTTGGGTTAAGACCCTAAGCCCTAAACCCTAAACCCAATTAGGCTGCTATGTTTCGGATTGGGTTGTTGCATGGTCGTTAGTACTGCAAGTTGCCATCCTCCGGGGTGCTAACTCCATCTTTAGGGTTTAGGGTTTGGGGTTTAGGGTTGTCCAGTCTGGTGCTTGCGCTAGGACAGCAGGGACAATGTTGGGAGAAAGGGTTTGAGGTTGAGCCTTTGCGGCTTTGGGGTGGAGGGGTCTAGGGTTTATGGATGGGATCAGGGCTCCTCAACAAAACCCTAAACCCAAAAGCCTAAACCCTAAACCCTAAACCCCTCAACACACCAGTAGTGATCCGTATGCTGCCCTTACGAAACCGAAAATCCTGAGCCCTTAGCCAAATAGCAAGAAGACGTCTAAACCCTAAACCCTAAACCCAAAACCCTAAACCGTAATGCGGCAAGAGAAGATCCCAAGCTGCAACTTCTGCAGGAGCCTAAACTCTGAAACCCTAGAACCTGAAACCCTGAAAGCCGAAACCCTAAAACCTGAAACCCTGAAACCTTAAAAGCTCCAGACGCTAATAAACCCCAGGGCCTGAGACGCTGGGCCCTGAAACTCTTTAACCCTAAACCCTTGGCTCCAGACTTCCTGAAAACTTCATCCCTGGGTGACTGCGGAGTGTCATCCTGGAGTTGCACGAGCCTTAGGGTGCTTTGTGCGGCTCCTTTAGGGTTTAGGGTTCAGGTTGCGGACACCCACCAAAAAAAGGTAGAAGAAAACGAACACACATTACGGATCGCTTGAAAATGGTTTCTATCGGCACCTGATAGGCACTCAAGTCGCGGTGATGCTTTTTCAGCTACTTGCAGCTCTATAGAGGAACTGTACGTACAGACCTACACCTAGTCCTTAAAGTAAAAGCAAGTTCTAAATCCTAAAACCTAATTCCAACATGGGTAGTTCTCTAAACTAGGCTCCCTTTTTAGGTCCCCAACATAGTACGGCACCAGTATAAAAAGGACCCTAAAAGGGACCCTAGTTTTCGAGAACTGCCCAAATCCTAAAGCCGAAGCCCTCAAGCCTATACGTCTTAAAGACGATGAAAGCAAGGCCAAGACGGTGATCGCACCTCTGGCTGCTTGGCGCTGGATTCGCATGTCGTGTGGGTTGGGGAACGGGTGTAGGTTTTTTTTTTCGGGGCGGTGGGGTGTGGGGTGGGGGGTTTCTTCAAGGGTTCGTTTATGGTTTCTAACAGGGTTACTGCATTGGCAGTTACTGTACATGGGGTTTCTATTCTAGTTCCCGTTCAGAGTTTTGAGGCTCGGGGCTTGGCTCTAGACGAGTGTTATTCAGGGAGGCTAGAGACTTCAATGCTTTTGCTGCTGCGGCTGCTGCTTTCGGTTTTTTTGGGCCCTTCAAGGATGGTGATTCTGACATGTCGGTGTTCTGGTTTAGTAATGTATAGTAAACTTGTATTGTTGTAGAGTATGGTAGAGTATAGTGTAGTGTAGTATGGTATAGTGTTGTAGTATCGTATAGTATAGTAGAGTATGAAGATTGTGATGCAGATGCTGCTGCTGCTGATAGTGGTGCTGATGATGACGGCGATGATGTCGAGGAACAGATTCCAAGTTCCGGAATCTGAGAGTACTGATGTTGTACATAAGAGCCGATTGGAGTTACCCGATGCTTTAGTTTTTGGCTTTGGCTCATTCTAGCACGTGTAATGAGGCTTCAGAGAGGTTGGAGTCAAGTACAGTTTGAGGTATAGGGCGTTTGGTTTAGGCTTCAGAGCTTCAGCGTCGAATTTCACTTGAGTGGTCAACGTGTTAATCTCCAAGTGAGACTTGTACTTGGAACGTACACTAAAAACCCGACAACCCTAAACCCTAAACCCCTAAACCCTAAACCCTAAACCCTAAACCCTAAACCCTAAACCCTAAACCCTACTCCCCCTCCGCCAGAAAAAAGAACCTGCAAACTCCTTGAGGGATGTGCTCGGTTGGTGCTTCAGTTAAGTAGGAACTCTACTCATAAAGCCAGCAGAAGCCCCACACCTTAGATTCAGTTCTGACCCTTAAGCCCTCAACGCCCCCTAAACCCTAAACCCTAAACCCTAAACCCTAAACCGAGGACAGAATCAAGATCATGTACCAGACGGATAAGACCCGCCGTTTCTCCTGGCGGGATGTGATCTTCCGCTTGATGCTTGGCATGTGGGGTGGGCGTGGGGCGGAGGTGCGAGGTGTAATTTGTGGGTTCTTAATATGTTCAAGTTGAAGTAAATAGCGAAAATAACAGGGGCCAGCAATGAACTTCACATCAGCTATGGTTTTATCAAATTATGAAGGCTTTGCTCGTCGGCTGCTGTTCACATGTGAGGTTCGACTAGCAAGCATTTGAGGCTGAGTTTAGTAAAAAGTTTTGGGGTTATGGAACAAAAGCCCAAAATCTTAACCGACAGTGTCATGAAGCGCCAAACCTGAAGCCCCAAAGTTACTCGTGATCACGGTTCGTGCGTGGAGGCTTAACTCAGAGAGGCCTATTTTAATGCAGGAGGATCCTTAAAATCATAGTAAGAAGCCTTCTGAATTTGGTTTAGGGTTTAGGCGTTGAGGGTTTAGGGTTTAGGGTTTAGGGTTTAGGGTCCCTGAGTTCAGGAGTAACTTGGACTTTTCGGGTAATCCACCCGTGTTCCAGAATAGCTCCTCACGCGAAACCCGCCAGGCTTTCTCCAGAAAACCACCCGAAGACTACGCCGATCCTGGCAACAGCCCTGAAAGTCAAGCTGTAATCCAGTATGCTAAAACGACCAAATACTGCTCTAAGAAGACGTGAAGCATGTTTAGATGCCCTGGAGGCCCCTGTGGAATCAAGAAGCATAGTGCCTGTTAGACACCATGCAGACACTGTTTAGCCGTAATCAAACCCGAAACCCAAAGCCGTCACTCAACCCATAAACTGTAAGCCCGAAACAAAACCGCAATTCCGAAACCCCATAGAACCACCACAAATGCACCCGGAACCGCAACAACAACTCAACGAATTGCATCTTCTGCGAGCCTTCAGGAAAGAAATACACAGCTCTGAGGGTGCAGCTTGGCTCAGACAGTTGTGCCCTTCAATGAAGAGGCCCGAAAGAATTCCAATGTTAAACCCTAGGGTTCCTTAATCTTAGTGTTCCAAGGGTTTAGGGTTTAGGGTTTAGGGTTTAGGGAATACCCAACCTTTCAACGTTTTGGGTTCAATAATTTAGTAGGAATCTGAAAGTTAAACCCTTCATTTCCCTGGCTTCTTGGGAAAGTAAGTCATATGGGTAGTTCTCCAGTCTCTGTTAGGGTCCATGTATAAGTGTGCCGTACTTTTTTGGGGCTCTCAACAGGGAGCCTGATTTAGAAAGCGACCCATATACCCAGAGATGAACCTTCGAGTGCCTCCACGATGTGGCAACTTCAAACTTTCAATCCTAGACCTCCCGAACAATTTCAACTTCCGTTGCTTGTGTTTTGAGTGTGGTGTCTGATCTGTGGAGTTTAGGTGTTTGTTTTCATCTTCTTCTGCTTGTGGGGTCCCCTAAACCCTAAACCCTAAACCCTACATCCCGAAATAGGCCTCGAAGGAAGCCTTTTTCTTGGTGTTCTTCTGGTTGGCTCTTAGGACTTTAACTTTTTGGGTTTCTAGATGAACCAGGAGGCTAAAAGTTTAACTTTTTGGAGGGGTTCAGAAGTCAGCCAAGTTTTATTCTTTCTAGTAATTGAGGCCCATATATCATAGATACACCCTAAACCCTAAACCCTAAACCCTAAACCCTAAACCCTAAACACTTTCGTATCCCTTGAAAGGAAGCCTATGCCTCTATCAGGTGAAGCTTCGTTTAGATACTTGCGAATGCTCCCTGAGATGTAACCACAAACCCGAAACCCCAAGACCCTGAACACAGAACAGATGCGCAGAACCTGAACCCTAAAACCCTAAACCCAAAACCCCAAAACCCTAACTCCTGAACCACAAACCCTAAACCCTAAACCCACAACCCCTAAAGAGAAGTCCTTATGGAGCAAAGGGATAAACAACATATAGGTTTAGAGGATGAAGAGCCGTCCTATACGTAGCAGCGGCGTTTCTACCGGAAAGTGCAGGTGTATACAGGTGTATACAAGTATAGTTGTACTTGTGGTATGAGATCTAACTCACAGCTGAGGTAGCCATAAATAGTGGCTTTCACCTAGTCTCGAAGTACAGTTATATTTGGGCAAATGGGTACTTTAACTTCAAAACAAGGATGTTCGCTGTTGAAGGCCTTCTTTGTACTTAATTCTTCGGGCTCATAGTGTTTGCGGCTCAGGCTTGTTTGAAGGTTCATGGGTAGGTATTGACAGGGTTGTAAGTAAATTAACTAAAGCTGCACAACCGTTTATAACCCTAGCCATGGAGCTTTTCTGGTTGCTTGTGCTTGCCGTGAACCTTCAAGCAAGACGAGCCCATATGAGGTTCCTGGGCTTTGGAGGGGGCACGGTGCAACGCTGCTTCGCGTGGTGCCCTACTCTGCGCCACTTCGCTGCGTCCTAAAGCTTTTGGTTTTGTGGTTCGTTGCCCAAGAGCCCGCGAAGTAGGTAAGCTCAAAACCCAAACTTGTTGGACTGGAGATGAATGGCAACCTTCGGGCTACCCAGCTTTCGACAGTGAAACCTATGAAGTTTCTGTGGCCTGGCACCAAGGGCATCCTGGTGAGTAACCACCGAACCCAGAGACTCCAATATTCTTTAATTAAGGAATAGTCCTTAAATTATAGTAGGATCCTTAATATGATTTAAGGTATAGTCCTTAATTAAGGGATATTGGAGTCTCTGGGAAGCTAAACCAAGGTCCAGCTCGGGGTTTACAGTTTGGACGTTGCTGGAGCTGTGGCTCTTCATCGGATGTCCGTAACGCATGTGCCTGGGTTTAGGGTTTAGGGCTTCAGAACACCAACTTTTGAAGAGGAAGAAGCCCTGAACCCTGAGAGTAGCTCTGCCCGATGAAAAACGGCGTGCAGCTGCAGTCTGAGCTGCGCAGCCTGACCCCGGCGCGGGGCAGGCTAAACCTTGCAGAGCTGCTCAAGCGAACGCAAGACAGAGCATCTGTGCAGCAGTTCCTCACCACAAACTGTAAGCCTTACTTCTAGCATGTTGCGTTTGTGGTCCGAGGACGAGCTTCACCGTCTTTGAGCCCTACAAGGCCTGTTGTTTTGGGAATTTGAGTTTAAGTGTTTGGGGATGTTTTTCTGGCTTCAGTTCCCATTAACCCTAAACCCTAATATGAAGTGCATGTCGTTGCCCGCCAGCACGACATGAGAGTACCTAACTAACACCAAATGTGAATGCAAGCATCAGCCCATACATGCATGCATGGTGTTGGAAGATGATTTGTCCGAGATGTTGAGATGCTGGTGATTCGGCAGAAGAAAGCTCGTCCCAACGGAAGGCATCAAGCACCAGATCCCGGACCATCAGTTGCAAGCTATGCGCGTTGTTCCAACCTAACGAGGAGAAGGTCAGAAGCCTTGGAGGGAGCCTTCCCAGAGACTAACAAACCACAGGGGACTAGTCAAATCATTACAAATACGATTTTGGGGCTCCTGATTCGGATATAGTAAGATATCTCCCAAAACCCTGTTCTAATT